CCCGGGGGCGGTGCGCGCCCCGCGGGGAGCGCGGCGAGGCGGCCGCACACGGGGCGGAGGAGGCGATGCGGGCCGCCTGGGTGCTGCTGCCGGCGCTGGCCGCCCTGTCCGCCTACTACGTGTACCTGCCGCTGCCCGGCGCCGTGTCCGACCCCTGGAAGCTGATGCTGCTGGATGCCACCTTCCGGGCGGTGCAGCAGACGGTAAGGCGGCCCCGGCAGCCCGGCTCCGGGGAGGCGGGCGGACATCCCCGCAGCGGGACCGGAGGCGCTCGGAAGCGCGGTAACGGTGCCGGCCCGCAGCATCCGCGCAGCGGGAGCGGCCCCCGCGCAGCCCTCCCGGCCGGCCCCCGGCGCTGCTGCCGTGTGGCTGGAGCCGAGCGGGGAGTGCCCGGCTCGGTGACATCGCCGGGCGAGCATCCGCGCAGCGGGAGCGGCCCCCGCACAGCCCTCCCGGCCCGGCCCCCGGCGCTGCTGCCGTGGCTGGAGCCGAGCGGGGAGTGCCCGGCTCGGTGACATCGCGTGTGCGCCGGGCCGGAGCTGCGGCCGGTTCCGGTGCAGGAGGAGAAGCGGGTTCGTGTTCCTGTCGCGGGACAGCCCCGGGTGTCGCCCCTGTCCGTCCGTCCGTCCGTCCGTCTGGCGAGCGCTGCCGGGACTCCCGGCACAGCCTCACCGCGGGCGGCTCCGTCCGCTGTGCGAATTGCCGGCTCCTGGTCAGGAAAAAAGAATTAGTGGGTTTTAATCTGATCCCTGTGCCTTAGGGAAAGAGGACTCCTTCAAATATTAAACTGTCTTGATTTGGAGTCTTGTTACTAAAGAAAACTCTGAATGCTTGCTTTTTGTCACAGAGCAGTTGTCACTTGATTTCTCCCTTATTTTCTTGCCAGTGTTTTTATGCTGGCATGAAACAGAACAGAGATGGCAAAATTTCTGATAATGACTTCAGCTGTGAAGTTTATTTTCTTCTAATATTATCCAGTCTTTCATAAGGACTTAAAAGTCATAGACAAGACTGATGTAAAATTGAAAGTTGTTTTGACTGTTTTGAAATGTGCACAAGATTGTATTTTGAGCAGATGATGAGCCCTTCAAAATGGGATTAAATGAGTTAATGAAGGCTCATAAATGGACTAGGTGGGAATGTACCTGCTACATTCTTAATGCAGTAATGGGTAGTGGGAAGCATGAAGACAGTGGATCACACCGTGTCCAAACTTATATATTCTGCCTGAATAGTTTCTCTGGTTGTCACCTTTGGAGGCAGAGGCTGGGACTAAATGGATCGTTCATCTGATTCCCTGGGACATCTTTTGGTCTGATTGTGTAGCTGAATCAAAGCATGCCTCTAGGTTGAAGTGATAAAATCTGTTTGCTGTGCAGATAAAACCTGATCACTTGTAAATCATCCTGTGTGATGGGAAAATGATGCAATACAATAGCTTAAATTCTGCAGTAAAATCTATGGCTTCACTCCATGTTTTTAACTCAAGTGACTGAGCTGCAGGTGCTCAGCTTGCCCAAAGTCATTGGTGAGTAGGGACAGAAGGGCCATGGTGCCTGCACAGCATGCTGCCTGCAGAACACGGTGTCATGGTTTGTCCAGGAGCACCTGAATCAAGGCCAGAACCTCTGGTTCAAGGAGACCTAACTTTAGAAAACGGTGTGACTGTGGCTATTTATATGTCTATTGCTGCTGCCTCAGCTACATCTTCAGCTTGTTCATGTGGTGTGTTGGGTTGTAGGTGCATTCTGGTGCCACTAGCTTGGAGGCTGAGAAGTATCTCTTCCTGGCATATTCTAGAGGTCATAATCCCAGGAAGAGCTGGCAGGACAAAGCCTGGTGGGTGCCAGCTGGAGCAGGCTGGTGACAGGACTGAGGTGCCCACATCTGCCCCCTCTCTGGGGCAGGGAAGACTTTGTAAGGGGAAGGTGGTAATTTTTTAGCTGTTTACATCTCTGGCCTTAGAAACAAAAACTTCAATAGTGAGAAAAACTACTAACCAAGTAACAGTGCCTGTAACATCACTTGCAAAACAAAGAGACAAGTCAGTTTTACCCAGAAGCATGAAGGAGGTGAGTTGTTAGAGGTGCCCCAGTCACACAACAGGTGAGCCGTGGGCCATTGGTTTCTGGAGAGAAAGAGAAGGTGCTTTCCAAGGGTTCAGAAGTCTTTCTAACACTGAGGCAGCACAGTCGGGAATAAATGACTGTCATTAGGAAGGAACTCTTGAGAACCAAAGGTAGGATTGTAAAAGTTAAGCTTGTGTATTTACTTTGTTAGGCAGCTTTTCTAGTTATATATATAAAATAAAGTGTATGTCCTTTTCTAGAGGTCAGCTTCCTCTTTCTTTCTCTATCAGCTATTTCAAGGCCAAATGGTTTAACATCTCTCTCAGTGGGACTGGTGAACTTTCACCCACTTGTGAAAGTATTTCAGCTTGCTGTTTATTACTTTGCTTTATAGGTCTGATAGCTGACAGAAATACCTTTCTAATTTTAAAGTCTCTGAAATGTATTTTTTTCCCCACAAACTTCATGTGCTTCAAATAAATTAATTGTCTTTTGCTTATTTTGAAATGGATTTGTCAAGACTCTGATGATTAAGTGTGACCATTTCTTGTTAGGGATAATGTGTTTGTTTACTCAGAGCATTAATAATCACTGTGAATAAAACACAATAGGCCTGTCACTGGCTTCCAGTGTACTAATGATAAGGTTTTTACATTTGCATGTAGAGTTTTGCCCCAGGCAGCTATAAATTTCTTTACAAGCTTGGGACTGAGTCAGTGTCCTGGCACAGTGTGAGAATCCAACAAAAATTCAAGTAGAATCAGGTGGTTTAAAACGTGTGTAATGTTTATAGGGCAGTTTCTAAATAGGTTTCAAAATGTACTAAAGAAGGGAACTGATACTGCTAAAGTGTCAGTTCAAGTCTTAAACTGGGGGAAACAGGTAGGAAGAGCTGGAGTGATTATCTGAGGTCACAAAAATTCCTGTGAAGGTGGTGAAAACTGAGATGACTTTCCAGAGCCCTCTCTTGTTCTGTGCCCTCTCTAATGCCCTGTGCTGCTCTGGAAAGAAGACAAAGAAACTGAGACTTTAATGATATTAAATAATTTTTGTGAAAATGCTTACCTAAGAAAGGGCAATTTGCCCATTACCTGTCTCAAAATGGGGCATGGTAACATTTTTACATGAAACTGATATAACACAATTAGGAATTAAAAACTTACGTACATACATATATGCACAGGTACATCAGCTTCACTGAAATTTGGGAAGCCACAGAAAGTTAATTACAGAATTGAGCCATAGATTTAAACATAGTCATTTTTGCAGTTGGTGTCTATTTACAAGTGTCTAGAGGAACAATTCATAATTCTGCTGTAACAGCATTTTGACTTCTTCCTCTAACCACTGTTCCTTAGAAGAGGAAAGAGAGCAGCACATGTTTACTCAAGTCCTTTGAAATAAGTTATTTCTGAACACTACTGTCAAGACACTTGCTATTCTGGTGCATGCAAAGGAAAGAGGAATTTTTTTGGAATTGGGACAACTGCTAGCAAAGGTTTGGAAGAATAAATGGATTGGCATAGAGGCCATCAGATAGATGTATATGGAAGAAAGCAGGCAGCTGTACAGGGCAGAAAACTTCTCATCAGCCAAGTGTTTCCTTTGTGCTTCTTCTCCACTCACTTTTGGAATAAAATCAGCCATGGGATATCAACATTCAAGAGTAGAGGAAACAGTTGTATTTCTTTCTAACATTTTAATTTCTCTCTACCCACATATTTCAGAGTGTGTGACTTCTGGACAGATGTAAGTCATAGTTGTAGGCAGTGCAGTAAGTTGTTGATGGTTCTGGGTGCAAGAACAGTCTTAGAATTGATTTACAGTAAAACAGGGTTTTAGTTACGGAAGGTAGGTCTCACAGCACTGGCACCCAAGCAGAAACTGAACCACACTGTAAGTCCTGCTTGCAGGATCAGGTAACTTATGTTGCTGTAAAAGCAGATCATCATAGTTGAATAGGTACGTGAGCAAAATCTTACATTAAAACATAATTAGATTTTGTTTCTAATTAGTAAGCTGAAAAAACAGTCTTCCTGGTTTCTTTTTAGTTCTAAAGGAAATTCATAAAACTAAGAGCACTTGTCTTTGAAAATTGTATTATCTAATAGTATTAAAAAGATATATTCTTTACTGGGCAACAAGACACTTGCATTGAGAAATCTTTTTGTAAAATCACCCTTAAACAGGCTGAATTGCCCAAGATGCACACAAAACAATCTGTTCCACACACAGCTAAATGTGGAAATGATCGTGTTTATTTTTCACTAATCTGTTACTGACTGCAGATATTGTGTTGGCATTTTGGCCTGTAATGTTTGTAGAAGTATCTTTTTCAAAGCAATGCCAGAACTGACTATAGTGTCTGTGTCTTTTAAGGTAGGAAGTTGAGCTTTAGACAGTTCAGCCTTGCAGTTCCAGCATCATTACTCAGTTGAGTCATGAGTGAGAGATTTGGCTGGGTCCCAAGTAGTGCTGGATGTACAAAGAGCCTTAGCTGTTTGCCCAGTCCCTGATGCCCCCAAATCCTGAAAGGTTGGTGCAAGGCCTTGGCTCTGCCCGGCTGGGAGGGCACTGGAGGCAGCAGCTGATGGCTCTGGAGGGAGGTGTCTCTGTGCCCTGCAAGCGCGACCTGACCTGTTGCAATAATTCCGTGGCTAAAGGGCAGAGCCAGGGTTAGCCCAGGAAGTCGTCTGAGGACAGAGAGTCCCAATGTGCTGAGTGGAGTTAGAGGTTACTGGACATTTGCAACAAAAACTTTTGGGTTACTTTTTTGCAATAGAGAACACATGATGAGAATGGAATTCAAGTCCTTGAGGGATGTGAGTTTCTTCATGAAATTATCAGCTGAGGATCCAGTAGAAGAATTCATATAATTTAGGGACAGATATTGGTGGTTAAAGGTGAAGTAATGGTGCCTCACTGCTGTTCATTCTGCCCTCCTTTCTTCATTTACTGAAAAATTTCTCCTACATCAGTTAAATCATTCAGTACCTGGCACCCCATATCAAAGAGTTTACCAGAAGGAAAGTGTCAGTCTTGAACAGTTCAGTCCCTTGGGAGTGCCTGCATAGTCCTTACCTTAAAATCTCAGTCATGGGAAAGTCCTGGCAAAAGAAAAGGAGATTTTGCTGTAGTGGAAAAAATTGCAGCTGTGACCCAGAGCGAGCAATGTGCTGTGCCTGTAGCTGGCACAGCAGTTCTGGGCCAGTTGCCCACAGGCTTTTCATTTTTATACTATCTCCCCTTTCTTTCCTGTAGTCTCTTTACTTCCCCCTTTTCCTTATGCTTTCTCTTCCTCTCCACTAGCTCTTAGTATTACAGCACTGTCTGCTCTCCCTTTTCACCAGAGAACTCTTCTCTTCTCTTCTCTTCTCTTCTCTTCTCTTCTCTCTTCTCTTCTCTCTTCTCTTCTCTTCTCTTTCTCCTCTCCTCTCCTCTCCTCTCCTCTCCTCTCCTCTCTCCACATCCATATCCATCATCCCCAAATATATTGAAGTGTTACATTTGATAACCTGCAGCAGCCCTGCAGGTTGTAACTGGAAGGGTGGTAGAAACCACAGCTACCAGCAAAGATCAAACCCAGTATTGCTCACATGAGATGAGCAGTCCCAGTTTTATCCCAGATTCAAGGTGATCCAGCTGCTGCCAGAAGGGCTGGTGCCATCCTTGCTCCTGCTCCTCTTTCCTGCCTTGGGGTATCAGTAAGGTGGTGACATGATTGAAGTTTGGTGTTTCTCTGGCTCTGCTGGGTTTGTATTTAACTGGTGCAGCAAGATCATGCTCTGAGGCTTCCAGGGGCACCACAAGAAAGGTGCCAGGGAAGAACAGGCATCAGGATGGGCAGGGCTGTCCTTTGAGTGGCAGGTATTCCTAGAGGAGAGTTGGCCAACCACATCTTCTGCCAGGAGTATTAGTACAGACTGCTCAGATATGATAGGTATTTATTTTAATATTTAGAGGAAAAGAAGACATTTATTTGTGAGAACTTTGGACAAGACTGGCACTTTGCCAGCAAAAAGTGCAATCCTGATGCCTTGTAAATTACAAGCCAATAGGCTGATTAGACAAATTGACTAACAAAGAATCTATCTGATAAATGCTTGGCAAAAAAACTGCCCATGCCTGATAAATAATTAGGACTGTTGCCTTTGTGTGCTGATGTGGAAAGCATCTCTTCCAGGTTTCTGGATTCTTGGAAAGAGTGGTTTATTCTAGGAGAAATAGGCATGAAAGAGCTTGGTAGGCTGTACAGGGCCAGGGTGCTCTGTGGTTAAAAGAACAGGGCAAAACACTTCTTGGTAAACACCACTAACTAGCCTTGAAAACAAAACATTCCTGACTCCAGAGAACATGTGGTAATTTTCTCTACAGAGAGAGCAAACTAAACTGGAAGAAAATAAAAACGAGATATCTATTGCAGCACAGTCAGGCTAAATAAAATCTACAAAAACATTCTTTTCTTGAGCAGTAATTTCTAAGACTGCTTCACAGTGGTTACCTCCCCTGGGAACTTCCATAGGGCACAGAGAGGATCAGACCTTTATGTGGTTACATCAGTGGCAGCCAAACAATTTGTGTGCCAGATTATTAATAGATGTATTGCTCTTCAGATTTCAAAACTAGTCCTGAGCTTTCCTGTGGGAATTTTAAGTAATGGTGGGAGAAAACCGTGCAGATAGCCTTGTGAATTCAGCATTTCTTCCTGTCAGGCAGATATTTTGTGTTTCTTCTCCCAGAGAAAAAACTTGCAGTATGAAGAAATGATGTCCCATCCAAAAAGCAGCAAACATTTTAAAATGTGGATTCCTATGAAGGTGTCTCAGCAGGGTAATGTTAGTACAAGTTAAAGCAAGAAAATAAAGTATTTTTTTTTTTAATTCTTGTTTTGGAAATGGATTCCATTCCCAGGTCACATAACAGCCCATTGTGTTTGGTGTAAATTTGGAGGGGGGGGGGTTTTAAATATCAAACTTGTCTTTTCTTCTACAGCAGTCTGCAGTGGGAACTGTGCAGGGCCTTTCCTGTACAGAACCTGGATAAAAGCAAATACTTCCATTTTTTTGACATTCAAACTAATTAGGACAGAGAAACAAAAAAAATACATGTAAGAGATTGTGGCTGTAAGATCTTCTTTGGAGGAGAGGATGCTGAGTGCTTCAAAGCTTGCATTTCTTCTGGAGGGGGTTGTGTGCAGATTTTGTACAGATTAAACTGGCAGCTCTCTGTTCTTCAGCAGGTGAATGTGGTTAGACCAGTACCTGGGTGACCCTGCTCACTGTGTGTCAGCATCTTGAATTCTTTGTAGCAGGTTACACTGCACTAGTGGGACTAGCAAAATTCACACTGCAAAGTGGGTGTGTGTAGAAAAGCCCTATACAAAAGGACACCTCTTCTTGTTCCAAATATTTGCTACTTGAACATAAAATAAAAGGTCCCAGCTGACAGTTTTCCTAGTGGTAGGGTTCCTACAGGTACATGTTAAATATATGTGTTAATTTTACTTCCTGACTCCATTGCCTTGCCTGAGAAAGTTGTACAAAAGGCCTTGCTGGTTATCCAGTGTCTGAGCTCAAGGGGGAAAGACCTCCACTACTTTTCCTTTTAAATGGTCACTCTGGGCACTGCAGTGTGTGGTCCTTTGGCTGCCCTTTTGCCACCCCTGGTGCACCATCCAGGGCATGAGAACAGGTATGCACTACAAATAGTGACCAGGTCATGTGTGGAGAGCAGGCATGACCATTTCAAAGTGGAGGAGTGTCTTGAATCCCAGTAGCGTTTACTGCAAGAAACAGGTTTCTAATCAAGGCAAGAGCAAAATTTTAAAAATAAATAAAAAAATAAAAATCCTGGATGGCTAAAGGGGATAAAATCTGGCTTCTTCTGCCATAAGGAGACAGAAGGATCAGATCATTCTTCAATTTCTTGGTGTTTTAATCACATAAAAAAGTAACACACTTGAGTCTCTGGGGTTGGAAAAAAATGTCATTAACCTACTGTTGTTCTTGACTAGTGTTTCAGATCCTTCCCAGTTCTGCAGGGGAACACAGGACAAGCCAAAAAACACCATTATATTCCTTTAAGACTGTTCCTGTTTCCAAATTTCTTTGCAGTCCTTGGGAACTTTTCTTAATTTGGAAGTAGAAAGATCTATGGTTTGCAGTGGAACAAGAGAAATAATCTGCGTTTTTGATACTTTTCCACCAAAAAACATCGCCTGTGTAGTATTGCCCTCTGCTGGCACCAGTCTGAGGAGCTTCACAGGTCCCCTAGTGGAACATGAGGATTGTTCCCTTCCAAGGTGTCTTTCAGCGGATCTGAGTGTTTGTTCATAGCTGTGATCTACAAAGCGCTCATAGTTTAATTTTATTTTTCCACAGAAAATTTTCTATGGGTAGCGTTTTGTTTTAATACAGCTTTAAAAACATTAGAGGTTCTTGATAAAATTTCATTTTCCAGTAAATATTGTAAGAATCATGTAGGACCTGCCCTTTGAAGACAGTTGTATTTGCACATCAATGTGGTAGAGTATGATATGCTCTGAAGTAACAGAAATTTCTTTTCTTCTTTTCCCCCCACTAGTGTCACCTGATTCACTATCTGAGACTCAGCCATCACTTGATAGTTCTGAATTATTTGATTTGCACCTTTGACAAGCTGAAGTCTGTCTCCTCTGAAGACATTAAAATCACGGATGCTGTTTTTGATGGCGTGGAAGTGAGAGTGTTTGAACCTCCAGCCAAGGGAGATGAAAGCCTCAAGCGCAGCGTTGTTTACATCCACGGAGGGGGCTGGGCCTTGGCAAGTGCAAGTAGGTGTCTGACAGTAATTAAATAGGATTTCAGTCTGCTTTTCTCCTAGCAGGAAAAGCCAAAAGCTCTTTTTCCTGCCAGGAATGGCAGTTTTGCTAAGATGTACCTGAATTCAGCAGTGATGGTCCCCACTCTGATGGATCACGTCTAAGTAGAGAGGGAGAAAAATATTGCGAACACACAGCAGAAGTGCATATCTTATCTGCATGTGAGCTGTAAAAGGACCAAAAGGTTAATTTGGTTACATCCTGAGAGGAAAAAATAGCTTATTGATTAAATTTCTGTGATGCCTGGGCGGGCTGCTTGGGCCAGTCCCTCACTTTCTGAGTTAACGTGCAAAAGTCATTTCTTGGTGATCAGGTTCCAGTGGCTACATTTAAGGAAATTACGTGGGTTTACCCCATTTTCAGACAATAATTACCAGAACACTGAGCTGATCTACACTGCATGCAATAGCCTTGCTAATGTTTGGTTCTTAAATAACATCTGCCTGGGAATACACACTGCTGAGCGCAGACAGGAGGAGTGTGAGGGAAACAAGTGGAGGTTGGTTCCTCCTTGGGTTGTTCCTTAGGGACTACAACCACCACTAGCATAATTACCTTGAAATTTAATGCTGTTTACTCCATTAACTTGGAAACCACAAACATAATCAGGGGAAGTGAGGTACAGCTATAGGCAGTGATGAGGTAACCACTGATTCCTCCCACGTTATACAGGAGGAATACAGCTATGGGACAAAGGGCTTGTGGCTCCTGTGGCTGCTCTGAGATCCACATCTGAGAAGAGTCCTTCCTTCTCCTTCCCCATTGTTCCCATGACATCCTGAAGTCCATAAAGCCCTGATTCTACAGCTTCCTCTACAGAAAAAAAACATCAGTGGATTTTTACAAAATGATACGAAACATAGACTGTACTGATTGCATTTGGACTCTGGATGTGCAAGTCATTTAGACCATGATTTGAGTGAGATTCAGGTTCCTAAATAACTTTAAAATGTGGCCTTCACATGCCTTTGGAAATTCCAGTCTCTTTGTCCTGTAGCAGTTAAACATTTTATTCCTCTTCCTACAGAGGAATTGTGTTTTGAGATGGGTTTTTTTAGATCTGCCTAAAGGATATTTGTTAACCTGCTGCCTGCATCATTTGTTCTGTAATAGTTTGCATATGACTCTTGTTGTGCAAACATTTATATTAAATTGCTGCACTTTGTCAGGATGATTATAGCTTGGCTTTGTCAGATGTGTCCCAGAGTCCAAGGTGCAGAAGTTAATGACACAATTGCTACACCTAAATATTAACTTCTAAGATTGGATACTTTGGAAAACGTTTCATGTCTTAATCTATTTTATAGTACTGGGAACCAACAATTAAGTAACTGGAAAGGAACAAAATTAAAGATAATCAGTCCTCTGATAAATAGGATAGCTGTGATTAATCCTCCCTTAAATTTCCACAGAAAATCCTCAGTAGCTCAGCTGACATTAATAGGGCAACTCACTTGAATTAAAGCAATGCATGCTATATTAAAATGATAAAATGAACCACAGGCAGTGACTCATACAGCAGTAACCCTCTCTGGAAGTAAATGCCCCCAAACCATGGGGTGCCTTAGATTTTGGCCAACTGAGAAAATTGTGATAGGTGGGTGAAATGACATATCTGAAGTCACCAAAAAACAGATGAGAAAAGAGGCATTAGACTGCAGGATTCTATATGTTCCTTCTGCTGTAGTATGGATTTGGCACTTAAGCAGTTGTGGATTGATCTTATTTATCATTTACTTCGGTAGTAAAATCTGATGGGTTCTATCTGTGTGATAGCTGTATGTTTTCTGAGAAAGCTTAATGATAGCTTTGTGACTATTGACTCACGTGTCCCTAACACCATGTCCTTCCCTTCCAGGAACAAGCCTTTACAACAATCTCTGCAGAATCATGGCTGACTCTCTGAACGCTGTTGTTGTCTCTGTTGAGTAAGTAATCTAAAACTGATCAAGTAATTTTAAGGTATTAGAAATGTGTAACATAGTTCTTTTAGCTTCTCCTTCAGTAGTGGCTTCTCTCTAAGGCTGTAACTTGGACAGTAATTTTCTGTACCAGCCTGATACCTTTATCCTTTTAAAAATAAAACAAATTGGAGTGGTACCAGAAATTCATTTGGTTTTCTAATTATTTTAGAATACACTGTGAGGTCTGGCAGTTTCCTGCTGCTCTTGCAATCTCCCACTGTTCCAGTCCTCTCTTTTAAGCCTTGTACTTCCCTCAAGAGCAGAAGACTGCCAGACAGCAGAGAAGCAGGGCTGCTTTTTTAACATGTTGAACAATTCCAAGGCAAACAAACCTCTTGATTAGCTAAATACATTACCTAGACGATTCCAGCTTGATTGGTGCTGTTCCTATCTTTATTGTCAACTTCAATATTTTCTTTTTTAAACCAAACCACTTGATAAAATTACTCAAGTTTCCCACCTGCAGTTCATTACATACCAAGCTTTGGGATCTAATTGCAACTTAATTATATGGAGTTGATGTTACTCATTTAATGCTTATTATAGTGTACTTTAAAGGGTGGGGGGGTATGTTTATTTTTTCTTACTGTTTTGGGTTTTTTATTATTAGAAACAAGAAAAACTACAAAAGCAGCTGTTGGTTATTCCAGACAAGCAGCAATCACAATATTGAAAAGTTCCTTATTATTCCTTCTCTGATTTATGCTGGTATCACTCTGTCTGTTGCTTTGAATTACTATCACCTCTTTTCCTTAATCATTACATCATTCAATCAAGGGGTGTGTATTCAATTAGCCAAGTCTAATTGGATTCCTCATTGGTCTAATTGCACATCTCACTTTCACAATCTATGCACAGTTTACTGTTACGCTGTTTTGCAAGGAGCTCCCAAAGGACACTCTCAGATTCCTGTATATACAAGATACAGATTGCTTTCTGACAGCAGGTCACAGTTGGAGTTTTGAAAGTTGTAATCTTAAGTTTAAAAGTTATTCTGCATATGAAACCTCTTTAGCTTACAATCTAAAGATGTTTTGAGTCACAGAACTGAATTTTGGTTGGCTAGGCTCTACTGAGAAAGTGTAAAATCTGTTGTTTGAAAAGCTGGAAACTTTGCTTTGTACCATAAAGCCCAGCTTGTATGTCAAATTAGCCAGTAAATACAAGCAGATTTCTCCTGCACTGTTATTTAGAAGCTGAGGAAGCCTCATGCATGGGATTCAGCTGCTGGCTCTTCCTGGCAGGCTGTTTGCCCTCTGTGCCTCCATTTCCCACCTGCCCAATGGGTGTATTCCTGCTCCTCTCCTTGATACAGGAAAGGAATTACTGTATCTGTTGCATTGGAGAAAATTGGCTTTGCTTCATTTCTTGGCTATTGTTCATTGGATAGCAAGGTTTATTCTCTCCTGACATCAGTAAAAATTTGGGAAGCAGAAGTGCTTAGGTGTTTGGCTCAGCCAAAGAGGAGCATGTTGGGTGTGTATGATTTACTCACCCTCATGCTTGTTAAGGTGGGAATCTGGATCAAAACCAGGCAGGGTGTAACGACTCCCTTGCCAAGGGTGTCTTAACTATTGAATTTTTATAATGCATGATGAAATCCTCCACTGTAAATTTCAGGAAAGTGCTGAACAATTTTATGCTATCTTGGTATTATTCATGTCTAATAAGTCCATTTTAATCTTTCCAAATTAGAACATTAATTATAAGATTAAGTCTTACATACATATTACACACCTCCTACTTCTCCTGTACTATTTATCCTAATGAAATACTTATTTCCAGTAAGGCTTATCTGATATCATCTGTAAATCCTGAAGGAGAGGTACAATAACACCAGTACGATAAAGTAGAGATAAGAATTGTTTATCATCCCTTTCCTTTTGCAGATACAGGCTGGTGCCTGAGGTGTGCTTCCCTGAGCAGTACCACGATGCTCTTCGTGCAACAAAGCATTTCCTGCAGCCTGATGTCTTAGCTGAGTATTCAGTGGACCCCAGTCGAATTGCAATCTCTGGGGACAGTGCAGGAGGGAATTTGGCAGCTGCTGTGTGCCAACAGGTAACATCCACTGAGCGTTCTGTATTGCACTGCTGGGAGGCTAGCAGGGTCTTTGTGCTGCACCATCACATGGTGATGTGCCACGCTTGAAAACAGAATGGTAGAAAGACAGAATTTGCTCATTTTCCTTCTCTACAGTGACTCAGACACTATATGAATCACATAGGTTGTGATGTGCTGTTACACTCACAAGTTGTTATGGACCAGAGTTTAAGAGCAAGTAGCTAAATGACTTTTTTTTACCTATTTTGCTGGTGAACTCCTTGTTTTTCCAAGTAGGCATAATTTCTTGATATGGTTGCCTATTTTTAGATAATTGTCTCTGGAAATATGCTTTTATTTCTTTCAAATACAAATGAAGGACAAAATATACAGTAAATGGAGCTTAATTCTTCTGTTAAATTGTCTTCCTGCAGCATTTTGCACTTTTAAGGAAATTTCTTTTGTGTATCTGCAGTTTAAATGTAATCTGAATTTGATCTAGTAAAGAGTTTAAAGGAGACCCGAGGCAAGTAATATTTTTTACGGTTGAATGAAATATTATTATTACAAACTTTTTCTTATTTCCATAACCATTAGTGATAAGAAAGCAGATACCATGTCCAGACAACTAATTATCATGACAACCTTGCAATATTGAATTAGGGTGGAAAAATTAATAAGAAACAATTACAATAAAAGCTTCAATATTGAGGACTGATAAACATGATAGTGCCACGTTTTGGAAAGAGCATTCCTAATTTGATTTCCTGATGCATAATTCTTTTTAAACCAGATGAGACACGATAGGGCACTGGGAATCTTGTGCAGGAGATGAAACAAAGAGTTTGCTGACTATTGTCAACATATGCCCCCAGTAAGGCAATCAGGGGGCACCAAATTTGTAATTGGTAGACTTAAATCAAATGCAGGTCAAGTCAGACACAGGGAGGTGCTTCTGCACCAGGTGCATCTTTGCTAGAAGAAACTGTGGATGCCAGCAATCTGCATTTGCTGAAAAAAAACAATAAGGTCAATTCATGGAAGAAAAATCCATGGAAAGCTCTTAAAAGCAAGAGTAGCTCCTTTGATTCAGGAAATCCTGCTGTTGCCACTTGTTCAGCTGGGCACTGTGTTAGAGAAATGCCACTTTACACATTTTTTTTCTTCTTATTCCCTTCAATAAACTGATGTCACTGGTTTCTGTTGGGAACGGGATGCTGGATGTGCCTGAATGGCCACCTTAGAGAGGAGAAAAAGATCAGGCTGCTAATACTTCAGACAAACCAGCCACATTACCTGAATAAGAGCAGAATTCACTCTAAAACTGTCAAATGAATGTTTGCTTTCCTAAAGTTCCACGTTGATACGTGTTTATTTTCTGTATAATTCTTAATTGTGTCCTGTGTTTTTCGCACAGCTTAGCAAAGATGAGGATTTGCCTGTCAGACCGAAACTGCAGGCCTTGATTTATCCAGTCCTCCAGGCCTTTGACTTCAACACGCCTTCCTACCAGCAGAACATGAACATGCCCGTGCTTCCTCGCTACGTCATGATCAACTACTGGATCGATTACATCAACGGCAACTACGACCTGGCCCACGAGCTGCTCATCAACAACCACACCGCGCTCAACGTGGGCCAGGCCCTGTCCTTCCGCGCGCGCCTCAACTGGACGTCCCTGCTGCCTCCCTCCTTCAAGAAGAACTACAAGCCCGTGGTGCAGACCACGGGCACGGCGGCCATCGTGGAGCGGCTGCCGGCGCTGCTGGACGTGCGGGCGGTGCCGCTGCTGGCGGACGACGCGACGCTGGCGCGGCAGCCGCCCACCTACATGCTGACCTGCGAGAACGACGTGCTGCGCGACGACGGCGCCATGTACGCCGCGCGCCTGGAGCGCGCCGGCGTGCCCGTCACCCTTGACCACTTCCACGACTGCTTCCACGGCTGCATGATCTTCACTGTGTGGCCCACGGATTTCTCGGCCGGCGTGCAGACCAGGAACAGCTACATCAAGTGGCTGGATGAGAACCTGTGAAGGGAGGGCCCCCGGGCCGGAAGGCGCAGGGTGGGTGCGTGGCTGCGGTGTCTGTTCTGGCGGAGGAGCAAACAATCAAAAAGTGCACTTTTCTGAATTTTGACTTCACTGTTCGGCTGCAGACCACTAACTGCAGCATTTTCTAGCTCCATTGGCCTTGCCCAGTAAAGAATTTTGAGGAGTACTTTTTTTTCAAACCCGTCTTTTTTCCACTTTCTCCCAGATGACTACTGCCAAACATAAACACCTGTTGAGCAGGGAGATCAGGATTCCTGCAGGATTCCTACCTGGCTGCAACTTTCAAGCTTTGACTCTTAATTAAGAACAAAGGCCCTGGCTTTGAAGTGATGTGAGATAAATCCTAACATCTACATCTACTTCTGAATATGTAAAAACCGTGAGCTAGTTTACAGCAGTGTTAAGCATCTGATGTCACAGTGAGAACCTTGGACAGCAGGGCCATGAATTTGAATGACAAGCAAGGATTTAGGTGTTGGCTTTTTGCCATAGACAAACAGCTTATTTAAATTTTTTAAAATATTTTTTGAAAAAGCTCTTCTAGGCAGTTAAAATTATGCTAGATGAGTCTCTTAGCCAAACCTGTAATTCAGCTTTGGAATTTGGTCTGTACCACCTTTTAATAAATAAATTTTTAGAAGGTACAGGACTAAATATATTTTCAATAAAAAGTATGATAGCATACACACAAATAGGCAATATAAAACACTATGTGTAGCAGCAGAATCCAGGTTTCCTGTGTGAGTGACCTTCAAAGCTGACTACTTATTTGGCTAAAGAATGTGACTTCACCTGTGTTTAAAGCCTCAGTTACATGACCTCCTTACCGAAAATACTGACCTTACTACAAATAGTCTGCTGTGTGGTTTGCACTAATGTTTGTAATTAATAGTAGAAGTTTTGTTCATTGACTTTTCTTTTGTGTTTGTAGTTTTTATTGTATTTCCTGCTTCGTGAAAGGAGGAAAGCAAGTGAATACAAGTAGGCTCCAGTCTATATAGAAGATTTAATTCTGAGCTTTGCAGCTGAGCTTTGTCTGTCTTGTAGACTGCTCTAGGTAAGACGATCTCGCTACTGGGCAGCAAATCTGTGCAGTTTGAGCCAGTCTGTAAAGTTCAGACAGGCAGGACAGGGGAGAGAAACCACTTTGTGACTGTATTGTCCAGGCTGCTCACAGCTTGCAGAGATGAAGGTGGTGTCAAAAGCCCATAGGCAGAGGAGAGAGTGGGAGATGAAATTCATCCTCAGCTTTACCACAGACTTCCTGTGGGTCCCCAGGAGAAAAACATCATCACCTTGCACCCCACGTCAAGGGAGGCAGTGATTTCCTACCTCACAACAGAGCTGTGAAGCTGAATTCTCAGGCGTGGGCGAAGCACACGGATGGGAATGTGACTGCAGGCACTCAGCAGCTCCCATGGCTTTTGACTTTCCATCCTTCTCCAAGAGCTGGCTCAGAGCCTGTCCCACATCAGGGATGCTGCTGGGCTTGGGTCCTACTGAGCAGTTTGCTCCCCTCTGTCCTGGTTCAGGAACCCTAAGGTGAGGCTTCTTAACCCTTGGAGATCATGACAAAGGCTATTTCATTAAAGCATTCCTTATAGCAGGATTCTGAAAAGTTCTTCAGAAAACCCCATCAGGTTCTGGTAGATCAAACTGCCTTCTGACATTTAAAATACATACAGAGCAGTCCCCTTTGACTGGGATTTAAATTAAGTAGAAGAATGGCTTTGCTGAATCACTGCTTCCTGGAAACACCAGGTTGTTAATGTGGTTGTGTGTATTAAAAAAACCATTAATGAGACAAGGCCTGGATGTCAGCTCAGTCATGCAGGCCAAAACTCATTCCCAGCATAGTTCACACGGAGATCACAAGGCAAAGCTTTTTCAACAGTGGCCCAGATTCTTCTTCCATTTAGCATTTACAAAGACTTGGTGGAATTAGAGCAACCAAGTGACAATCTGAATCAGAATAAATTTTGATCAAGAAACCAAATTAACACCGCAGAGGAATTAAAACGTTTTATCTGGATTTAAGCTTTCCTCCTTTTCCCCATAAATAAAACTTCATAGATTGTATGCTTTGAACAGACAGCAACCAAAGTTATATCTAGTCAAAAAACAAGTTACTAATCTTCCCCAGAGTCCTTTCCCTTTATATTTACCTGATCTTAACCTATTACTAAAATAGTAAAAAAAAAATCACTGCACTGAGTTATAACAATAGGCTTCTTCTTGTATTTCCCACTTAAAATTCAAAAAACAAGTTACTAATCTGCCCCAGAGTCCTTTCCCTTTATATGGAGACAGCTACATTTACCTGACCTTAACCTATGACTAAAATAGTAAAAAAAAAAATAAAAAAATCACTGCACTGAGTTATAACAATAGGCTTCTTCTTGTATTTCCCACTTAAAAGAGTAAACCAGTGTCAGAAATGATACAATTTATATCTAGTCATGGTCATTAGTATAATATGTAGATATACTATGATTATATATCATAGTATAACTGTGGTACTGGAAAAAAATGGTTAATATTCCTATAAATCTTATAATAATTAGTTTTCCTGAGAGCTTTCTGCAAAGCTTTAGCTCAGCATTTGTTTATAGCTAAGTTATAAATATCTGTTACGAATCTAAAATATAATTGCTGCTGGTTTGTTTTTTTTTTTCACTGAAATGAAAGGGAGAGCTGGAATATATATACATATATATATTCCTGGAGTGGGTTGTAAATTTCCTTCATGCACTGAAGCACATTGAAGTCTTGGCACAAGAAATAAGTAAGTTTATAACTGGAGTGAACGTGTTTACGAAGCCGTCAGCAGCCGGTGCGATGGCCGAGATCTCAGCACCACGTGGATGTGATGCACGCTCTTACCTACTTCTGTCAGAGCATCTGGACTACTTTGATCTTGCAGCTTTGTGGTTTAATACCTGAGAGCTGCAGAGACACCTGAGGGATCCTACAACATGCAAAAAAAGAGGTCTGAATTCCTGTTCTAAAAAGACAGAGAGCTGGCTTTTTAATTCAATGTAACCCTTGAACCGAGTTAGTCCCAACCCAGCTTTCCTCCTCCCGTGCTTTGTCCTCCTTTGCAAACAGTCCCCATGTCCCAGATTGAAAGTTTAGGGTTGTTTCCAGCTGTGTTGCTACAAGCTCCTAGGAACTGACTCAGGGTTATATAGAAAGCAGATGCCTGGTAGCCAGGGATTAAGATTAATCCATGTTACAACACCTGGATTTGTTCCTGTGTTTTTGTACATCCCCAGGTGTTTCCTTGGGTTCATCTTGCACCTTCATCCCTTAGTTATTTCAAAAAGCAGTTTAAGGCATGATGTAGGATCAGAGCAAGTGTTTGTAGCAATATTTCACCTGTGCATGGTAGAGTCTTTTCAGAAAAGATGTTCAATAAATTCGTTTTCTTACCATGATCTTGGCTTCTGTAGGTAGTTTTTCTTCCCCTTCTACAATTAGACTCTATCCCTCTATTGCAAAAATATCTTGTTCCTGATGGCTATCAAAGCATTCAGGTGACAGCTTAAAAAAAAAAAAAAGGCAAAATCAACTTGCATAACAGAATCTATACTCATTCTTATCCTGCTTTCTTAGACCTGAGAACTCTTATTAGTGGGTCCCCAGTGTTGTGGCTTATATTTGCAGGAATAGATGGAGATTTTGTGTCTCTAGCTGAGGACCTCTTAAAGGATGGGTGTTCAACATTTCTGGAAGCCCAGACCTCTTTCAAGAGGTTTCATGATGCATAAAAATCACAAATAAATGAATTTCATAACCTTCATCTTAAGTAATTTCAGAACTGCATTCCCAGTCAAAGCAGAAAAGCCATTGGGAGTTTTAAAACTTACAAACTAAATAGAAATGCTTCATATTTAAAACATTATTTTGTAGTATTTGGGCCTCTATATTTTTTAATCTCTTATCAAACTTTACTGGAATCTTTTACAAGTAAAAATATTGGAAATAAGTAAACTTGAGTTAAACCTTTTAAGCTGCTGTGATCTGTAACAATGATATTGTTAAAAAATTCCAATACCAGTTGGTTTAATGTTCTCATATTTATGATGTTCAAAAGCCCAACATACAACATACTTGATGTGAATGCATTCAATACCTTATGCATGAGTGGTTTTTGCTTTTTGTCCCAGAGCAGGGGAAAGATTTGTAAGATCTCATTACCAAGTGTAATTTGAGATGTGCTATCAAAATGAAGAACAAATAAATAAAGTGAAATATACCTGTGACTTATTTTATTTTTCCCAGGACCACTGGTTTTGTATTTCTGAGCATTTCCAGTCTCATTTTTGATTGTTTTCAAGGCAGGAGACTTCTGTGTGTCCGTGGGTTGTGAGGGTCATCTCCTTGATCTCCATTTCTGCCAAATTATTAATGCTGACCACATCTGCTGGTGCTGAAGAGTGGACAAATCTGCACTGCTGCTGCTGTTCTTCTTCAAGATATACAGCAGAACTCACATTCTCCATTCTGATGTATAAACACATTTTTATTTGTCTATAGGTTATACGTGTGTTTGAAATTTGGTTTAGCCAGCAAAAGTCCAGGTTCCTTTTTTTATTCCTGTTTGCCTTCCTTTCACATTCTTTTGACCTGCAACCCATTTTCTGCCCCTGTTCTCTCATTTATTGATCACAGCAGCATTGCTTTTGAAATATCCTAAGGAGGGGGGGGGGGTTGTTCCCACTTTGTCTAGCAGGGTCCTGTGCCTTTCACAGAATACAAAGTCTTTTTTCTGATGAAAAAAAAAAAAAGTGGTGGGGAAAAATGCTTCAAAGGACTTACAACCCTATTTTTAAGCCAGCAAGAGTCATATTCCTGCTTGCATGAAATTGAATGCATGAAATTGAATGCATGAAAAACAGTCTGGGCCACATAAAACATTTTTTTTTTCCAGTGGTGTTTTCTCAGATGTCATAAAACATCTGACTGTGTGGGGCTTGGCAAGGCAGGGCAGTGAGTGAGGCTGTGACCACGTCCCCTGCTTGTCCCTGTGCCCTATTTCCCACCTCCCACCCTCAGCTGGAGCAGCAGCGAGTGCTCCTGGGGCTGTGCCTGAGCCAGGTGTGCCTGACACAGCTGGATCCCAAAATCCTTCTCCTGCATCCCGCCTGCCTGGGTTCTGCACCTTGCCTCACACTTACAAAACTCTTTGGAGCTGGGCCATGTTTTATGTTGTTCATCCTCAGGGATGACGAATGTTTTCTCCTTGCTCTTACTTCCAGTTTTTCTGGCACTGAGCCAGTGGCATTTACTTCTTTTGTAAATGTCATCTAAATAGCTGGCAGCACATCATTAATGTGAGACTAAATTCACACCTAATGCAAATCTAATACTTTTCCCAAATTATTTTCTACACAATTTTAAAGGGTTTATCAACCATTCAGCAGGAACACAGGAAAAATAAAGCCAAGAAAAGAAACCTTGCAGTGGCTCCTTTAAAGATGTTTTTACAGACACAATATTTTAAATAACTTTTGCTGATTTTATAAAATGTAGAGAACACTGAAAACTTACATTACAACAATTATTCATTTCTGAAGCAGAATCTCAAACCCCAACACTTCCCATCATATGACAGTCTAGGGGTATAGGAGAGGCAAAATTTGTTAAAGGAGAGAATAAATTTCATATTAAGAGACTTAAATCAGCAATAACTGCTGTTATATTGGTGTTATAGAAAAGTCCCTCTCCCGCAAATGCTGTGCCAGTGTCAGACAGGTGCAGTACACTCAGTGCCATTGAGAGGTGGAATTTGGGGTGTGGTGAAGGAATAAAGGGAATTCTTCCTGTTAACCTAGTAATTTCACAAAAATCTAATTCCACTCTGAAGTTTCTAGTTCTAAGTCAATCATCTGCAGTACAGCCAGCAGAGGGAGCGTTTAAAGCAAAGTCTGGTGCAGCAATTTCTGAAACCACACTGTCAGTCAGGAAGTGTTATTGTGGGCACTGCACCAGAGCGTTGGGGCAGCCCAGCCGTGACTGTGAATTCATGCATGGACAAGGCAGGAGAGTCATGCCAAGGGGGAATTACTCAGAGTTATTGCAAAAAAAAAAAACAAAACAAAAAACAAAAAAAAAAAAAAACCAAAAAACCACCTAAAACTTAAACAAACAAGCAACTCATAACCATTCCATCCTGGAAGTGTCCAAGGCCAGGTTGGACATGGCTTTGAGAAACCCGATGGAGTGCAGGGTGTCCCTGCCCATGGCAGGGGGTGGATGAGATGAGATTAACCCAACCATTCTGTGGTTGCTCAGCATGACTCACTCAGCCCTTGGCAGGCTCTGAGGGTGTTTTTCAGGTGATCTGCCCGTTATTTCAGACCCTGGGACCCGCTGGGGTGTGTGCAGTGACCCAGGCGCGCTGCAGCTGCCCGAGCATGTCTGCAGGCCCAGAAGGGCGAGGGAGGGCACCCAGGGGAAATCTCTGCTCTGTGCCCAGGGCCATGCCCATGGAGAGCTGGATTTTCAGGGCTGCCTCCATTGCCTGCTCAGCCATCTCTCTGTGCCAGTGAGGGCTGCATGGAGGCATAAGCAGCACTCCAAAAACCTACAGAGAGCTGTGAGTCCCCGTGGAAATGGTGCAGGGTAATACCTGAAGAAGTGGGGCTGTTTTTGCCCTTCTGCTGTGGCATCTCTGCTCTTTTAACGGTGCAAAAGGCAACTCAGTGTAAGAAAAAAAGGCAATTTTTACAGCCCTTGTACCCCTGCTCTTTATGCTGGAAGGAGATGACCCTTCCAAGAACCCCACTGGCAGGGCTCTGCTCTGGGGCCTGTGGGAGCCCAAGCCTGCAGCAGCTTGGTGTTGTGGGTTATTGGAATTATTTGGCACAGCCAGCAGCTGGGGTGTGGGTTATTGGAGTTATCTGGGGTTATTGGGCTATCAGATGAGTTATCTTTGGTGTTTCTCACACCCAGCCCCGTGCACGTGCTCCATGCTGCCTCAGCAGCCATCGCATCCTCTGCCACAAACGCCCTGCGGGTTAGGGAGCACTGCACAGCCAGAACAGCTCAGCAATTTAGTGTGACTCTATTTATAAGGGTTTTCTTCCTCCCCAAAAAATCCTATGCTGAGGAGCATGCAAAGGCAGGAGTCAGACGTGCCTCCTCATCTCCCTGTGCAGCTGGAGAGGCTCAGCCTGAGGGGTCAGGGCCTGCACCCAGCACTGGGGCTCCAAAAACCCCTGGAAAAAAACCAACAACACCTGCAAAAACCCCTCAAAAACTCCCAATTTCTTTTTGCATTCCTATTTTTCATCACCAGTTCACCTGCACTTCCCAGCCTTTCCAAATACCATACCATTGCAAATCCTGGTCTGTGCAGACAGTAAAGGAAGATGCCCCTGGTTATGTTCACAGTCACAGCAATACCCTGGAGGCACAGTATCAGCCTGGATGTGAGCACAAAGAACCAAATTAGTTTTAGCTGTTTAGTTCAGGTCCTGTATGATCTGCTGAAATACCAGGTGGTTAATCAGAGATCAGATGTTGTACATTTGTATTTCATGTTCAGCCCCAGAGTGGTGGCCTGCAGACAGGGCATCTGGAATGCAAGGAGTCTCTTTGGACACAGACACAGATTTAACTGGGGGTTGGCCTAGTCCACAGTGGAATTATGAAAAATCAAAGATGGGGGTACAAATGTGAGAAAGGCCTGTGCAGTTACATGTCTCACCATGAGTGACATGGTGAAGCTGGTGAAACAGAGATTTCAGCCTGAGCCAATGTACATTTTTCAGTACACTCTCAGAAACTACTTGCTATAAATTATACTTGTGCAAATATATACACACACACACACACATATACATTTAAATTGTCATAGTACAAACCTAGAACCACTTCATTAAGGATTATAGGCTGGCTCTAGATTTATAATGGTCATTTTAGTCAGGCTAAAACGATGATACTGGCATGAATTTGGGCTCAGGCCTTTTATTTTTTTAAGTGTCATCATCTTGGCTCTTGGGCTGGTGATTTTCTCACTTGAGTTTCCAAGGGAATATCTGAGTTTAAGCAAGATCTGAACAAGTCTGCTGAGCTGTCACCTTGGGGCAGATTCATGCATTTACTTCATCAGCCACTCATGCAATCTCTTTGGGCCCTCACTCCCAAATGCAAGTCCCAATTCTAACTTACTCTTTAGTGTCACTTTGAAATGCAACTTTAGCTTGAGTAGCATATGTCACCTCTCCTGCTCAGACCAGTATCTCCTGAGCTGTAAAAAGCCGTTTGCTGTTTGCATGTTAATGCAGCAGAGCCAACACAGTTGGGTGCTCTTCCCCCTAAAACTTCCTCAACAGGCTTGTTTGCTAAGCTGCAGTGGGCTAAGGGCAGCAGGGTTAACTCAGCACCTCTTTGTCCTAGCTGACAGCAGTCACCACACTGTTCTTGTAAACATCCAAGCAACTCCCCTTGACCCAGACTTATTTCCCAAAGCTGGGAGCAAAACCAACTATCTTTCCCCTTCCAAATCAATCAGGGCACAGGAATCGTTAAAAGCTAATCTGTGCCAGGTCCCATAATGAAATGCTGAAGTCATTTATTTTCCAGATGAATAACAAGTTAAAGCAGAAGGTGAATTTCCTGTTAATACTTCATCCTTGCCCTAAGGGATGTCTCAAGAACCAGGGGATCTTTGCTGGGTGGGAAGGAGGGCACTGAGCTTGGGGAGAGGAAAGTTGAAAAAGCAACCAAGCCAGCAAGGGTTGAAGATCAGCTGGGTTAAACTTTTGTGCCTGCACCAGGCCTGGGAGCAGGAGCTCTCCCATGGGCAGGGGCGGCTTTGGGATGCAGGTGGGGCAGGGAAATTCCACCCTGCTGTCACTGTCACTTCCCCAATGCCTGGACACGGGCCAGCTCTTGCAGGCACCATCGAGGCCAAACAATGGAGGCGTTTCCTTGTTGAGGCTTGCAGCAAGAGATTGTGAATTTAGTCAGAGATGGATTGGCAGCCTGGGGAGCCCCTTTGGTGCTGGGATTCACTAGCCCAGTGCTCAGCCACAGGGGTTGCACAAAATCCATGTGAACTCTATCTGCTGTGCAAGGCATTGCAGAATGCAGCAGTTCACCACAGTGCCAGCAGTGTTTATTCAGGCCAGGATTTTAGGAGACAAACACAGCAGCAGCCAGCGGGCTGGCACCAGGGCTGGCACTTGCTCTAACAGGTTTGCTCTTTTCTTCCCTGACAAGGCTCCTACAACACCAAGCTGCTGCAGGCTTGGGAGCATGGAGAGTCCTCTGAGACTTAGGACTTAGAAATTAGATGACTGACATATTGTCATTTTAGGACCTTAAGAGTCTGCTGAACCCAAGAGAGAGACACATTGTCCTGAGGAGCTCTGGGAGCACAGCTGGCAGAGAGGGAACCCCAAGAGCCCAACAGCAGGAGCTGCTGCCCCAGCCAGAGGGGTCTGTGAGCATCTCTCAAGCTGAGTCAGTGAGGTTTGAATAGGGATACACCTAACTCAGATTAGAAAACTTTTGCCCACATTATTTGCAGCTGCTTCATCTAATGTGCTGGTGAAGGAACCCCTGACACCAGAGCAAGGAGAGCAGTGACTAGCACAAACAAACAGGGAATTTAAATGAGAATTTACCTTACTTTTCTGAATAGGCAAACCGAACACACATAGGTAAGGTCAAAACTTTTAGAGCTGGTGCTTTCCACAGTATCAAAAAAATACTTAGCTAAGGAGGGAAAAACATTGCTGCTTATCTGCTCCACCCCTCCACTCAGCTTGTTTCCTTTTCCCTGAAATGTTTGAAAATAAATGAGCCAGTGTGGTTCCAGGAGAGTGCTTCAAATATTAAACAATCTGCTGCTCACAGCTAATAAGGAAGGAGCCTGGCCAAAAAACCCTGCCTGTTTACTGACTCAGCCCTGCCCTTCTGGAGCCAAGAGGTAGCAGCACCGAACAGAAATCTTGAGAAATGTTGGGAAATGTTGGGAATTGTGCAAATCAGGACTGTTCTGCCCTTCAGCAAAACCTTGTCGGAGGTATCCAGACCTCACCAGCCAAAACCAAACCCCTTAGAACTGAGGAAAAGACTACTTGAACGTGCTTTGAAGTATCCCATGAATCTGAAGTTTGTTTGCCCTGGGTGTAGAGAGTTTCGGTTCTGTTTGCTCTCTGGTCTACCTTGAGCAGTAATCATTAAATGAAACAAGTACAGCTGGGCAAGGTTGCCTGGTTTATATACTCTTTTACAGCCTTTATCAGGACTAAGAAGAAATGATAAAAAGTTGCAAACAGCACACAGCTAGAGTTATCTTGCTCCTGGCACTACCATTCTTTAAAAAAACTGTTCTTCCACTAAATGCCTGTAATTTCAGCTTTTTTTTATAGCTGGGACTTAATGTCTCAGGTATTTAGTATGCTTTCATGCAGCGCAGCATACAGGGCTGGAAATGCAAGCCCTGGGTAAAAGAAAATGTCTCCTTTCTCCAGCCTGGTCTGTTTTAACTCTGCAGAGGTGCCAGCCTGTCTGTGTTCCATCACCTCACTGGAGACATGTCACCACTCAGTTGGACTTGTCCAGATTTGTCTTTCTTACTTTCCTTCTCACCCTGTTATTTCTCCTGCCCTTTCTTCTTTAGACATTTGTTTCCTTTGGAAATACTTTTCTGGTGGCAGCTAAGGTAGAGAGGAGATTCAAACTGAGGGTGACAGGGATTTCTGTGAGGTCTTTGCAATAAAGTCTTGCAATGGTGTGTTTCTACTAGAGGTTAAAGAGGTATGTATTTAAAGTGTTTTGTGAACTATTTATATGACTAATAATATATTCTCACCATGAAGAAGGCCAAAATGAATTGAGAGGCACAAGTATTAGGCATATGTGAATTCTCAATCTCACTGATAAAGCAAATAATCTGGGTTTGCACTGTTAATACCATTTCGGGTTATCTTATCTTATCAGAAACTTTTTTCCCCAAAAATATTTTTGCAGGGAAAGAGCTACAGAAATTTCAGTGCTGTGCTCAGCAGCTGTGCTTTCCAACTTGCTGTAGCCATTTTCTGTGTAAGAATTTTGCTTTCCTTTGATCATGTATTTTAATCTGGGGATGAAGAGTGAGGGACATTTGTGCTCTCAGTACTTAGGTTTGCTCCTTGCAAGATGTCACCAGTGTGGCTCTCAAGCCCATGCTCCCTGCTGAGGTGTGTAGGGAGGAAGGATCCACATGCCCAGATCCCATCTGAGCTGCCTCTCTCTGCTTTTCACCACAGACCAACTTTGTTTATGTGGAAATTTGTGTTTACACACAAATATTTTCCACGGTGCAGCAAGCCAAACACATTACCTAACAAAATTGTCTAGCTATCTGCAAACATTTTGAAGCCTGAATAATATTTGCTCAGTTCAAGTTTAGACCATACTCACCCAGAAAAGTCAGGTGAGGCTTTCCAGCATGGTGATATCTTCCTTTTCTGCCCTTATATAAACAGGAATGTTCATTCCAATTAATGTAGTCTTCAGAGAAAAATGAAATCTGTATATGAAATCTAATAGCACAGGTAGATCTGCAGGGATTAACAATATGAAGGAGAACATTGTCAAGCATGTAATGATATTTTTTTGTATGTCTGCTACAGCTAATGCTCTTAATTGTATTTTCCAGTTTAATTCTAGTAGCCAAAGGCACGATGCACAAGGCAAATAAATGACAGGACCATTGGCATGTCCAAGTGCTTCTTCTCCACATAAATAAGGCAGGCAGCAAATATGAGCTGAGAAAGGAGATTGCTGAGTTGCAGTTTAATTCACTCAAGATTTCATCAAAATTAATTTTACACTGCAGGATGGAAAAACAGGCCTGGGAAACGCATTGAAAATGTCAGGAGGGATGGGAGCCAGGGAATCCCCCTCCCACATTACCATTTCACACAAGTGTGAAAAGGCTTTGTCAGCAGAGGGACTGGAGAAAAGAGGGTCAGATCTTGCTGGGTGCAATTCTCCATTCCCTGCATGCCTGAGAGATTCTTCTGTGATTACAGGTGCAGTTGGTGAAAGGCTTTTGAAACAGAAAGGCATTCCTACCAACCTGACAGCAGCAACAGATTTAATTATCCATACCCAGCTGGGTGTTTTTAAGACACCAGCCCTGCAAATACAGTGGAGATGAACTATCTCAGTATTTCCATTGCTGCTCAGCTTGTTCTAATGTAGCCAAGGAGCTGCAAAGAAATTATTTTGACCGTAAGCCCTTGAGGGCTAAGATTATCTTTATGGGCTTAGACAAATACACAAACACATTACCAGAGCTTTGTTTTTAAGTCCATCAGAGCTGAAAGGTGAAATACGTCAAAAGACAAGTACTTTTCCTTGACTTTTAAGTCAAGGAAGGTTTTCTTCTGTTTCATCTACAAATCCAGCCAGAGTAAATAACTTCTAGACTGCAAATAGTCACTAAACTTAAAACTCAAGGAACCCTTGGCAACTCTTCACCTGTTTTTTAAAAGCATTTTATACTAACTATAAAGGAAAGCATTTCTGTATTTGGCTTCTTCACAGATTATTTGGCCATCTAACCTAACAAAACCCTGCGGTGATACTGTTGATCACATCCAGTTTTGGAAAGCCACGCTGTGTTGAGAAGAGTATTTCCAGGCTGTGAGCCATAAAATGAGCCTGTTCCTGCTGCAGCTCATGAGGCTTTTGCTGTGAATTGGAAAACGAGGGCAGGCCCACATCCAATGCAAGGTCCCAAAGACACTCACACACATTTCAAACCAAAACCCATCAGCTGTGAAAACAAAACATTTGGGGGAACTCCAGTGAGGGAGCAAGCTGCCAAAAGAAATGATTCTCTGTTTATGTGGAGCTCCTTGCATTCCTTGTTTTGCTCCATGGGCTGGCCCAGGACAGGACAGGTGAATGCAGCTTCCTGGGAGGCAGTGGCAGCAAGCAGCTGAGTGACAGAGCAGAGCCCTGGCAGCATCCACGAGCCACTTCCTTGGCTTTGCTGCAGGGTAAGGTTGCACCCCGACATTGCAGAGCTTGTTCCAATAGACCCCTCACTCTATTCCTGAAAGGCACGTTTCCCCCCAATAATCCCAGCAGCTGGGTGAGTCCCCAGCACAATTTGTGCCTCTGGGATTCCTGCAGGGATCACTCCTGTCCCTGATATCTCAGGGCAGAGCTCTGTGGTGTCTTCATCACCTGCACACTCACAATTTTCAGCTCAGGTCAGTGCCACACCAAGCACTTATTTACAGTCAGAAAGGAGGTGTTAGAAGGGATGGAAGGCAGATGTTTATCCATTACCAGTGATTTCATAACAAGAAAGTCACAGCAAGTCATGACTGGATTATCTCAGCTGCCAGCAGCACAGCCCAAGCTGAGTTCCCTCCACTCAGCACACTCACAGCACTCAGCTGAGCCACAGCAAGGTTAAACTGCCATGACCAGGAAGAAATGCTTCAGAAACATACATATATACATATATATATATATATATATATATAGTGTGTGTGTGTATATACATATACATATATATATATGTATATGTTGAGGGTCTTTCAAAACCTCTGTGCTCCTTGGGGCACAAAGGTTCAGTCTGTGAAATCATTCAGCTCCATGATATGACCACTGGCTGACCTTTTTGCTGGTGCTGACTGTGTCAGGATAAAGCACAAATCCTTCTGCAGCTACACAGCTCTGTCAGCACTGATACTGCTGGGTGAACAAATAGTGTCTTAATCTGAGCACAGCCTGAAGCCTTTCTATTTACTTCAGCTAAAGCTTCCTGCACATGAACATTTCTGCTCAAAAGATTAATATCTTGTTAGATAAATATCTAGGATCACCCAACTCTTACACCCTGCTCACTTTTTCTTACCCTTACAAGACTTACAAGACTTTTGCACACTGTAACAGCTGAGACTCCACCAAAATGCAGAAATTAGGTGAGAAACTTTGGAAGCCAGGTTGGATATTACACCTTCTAGTGACATAAAGATGAGAAAAAGAAAGAGGTAAATTCAAGATGTTTTACAAGAACTACAAATTCTCCAGGTCAGTGTAAATACACATTAAACATACACCAAACCTCTGCTCCAGGCTGTCAGAAACAGCAAAGTAACCTGACAAGAATTTTGGAGATCTACATGCTTACCAAAGAGTGAACAGTATTTGCTTGAAAAATGAACATTCTCCACAGTAAGAAAGTGTAATAGCAGGTGTCCTACAGGCAAAACACATATTTGTCTCAGCTATAGCAGAACTCCATCTGGGGATGAATGTCATCAGAGTATTCAAAGGGCAATAAATCAAAGTTTTGCTAAGTGCACCAAACCAGGATTACCATATACTGGGAGGAATTAGATATGTAATGCATACATATATTTGAATGTCTGTGTGCAGGTTTAGGTAGGAGTGTGCATTCATTCATGGAATAGAATAGACCTCTACATCCATACAGATATGGAGACTGCAGGTCTGAAGCAGCACCATGTTCAAGGATTACCTGATTTAGTAGGGGTTTTAAGCAATCTGCTTCTCATTGCATTCCTTCCCTGTGAAAAGAAAGCAGAGATTTGTCAACACCTCAATAATTCAGTCTTAAAAGACAATTCCCATAAAATGCTCTTCAGGCATGAATTCTTCACAATCCCTGTGTGGGGGATTGGGTTCTGAGATTTCTTCAACCTGATAGTCTCCTTGAAGACAGGGAAACAGCATGGAAGAAAAGCTGAATAATGTGGCTAAAGTCAGAGGAGAAACCTGACAAAAAGCCCTCAGGAGCTCTGAGCTGGCAGATCTCCCCTTGGTTCACATCTCCACCTGTTTGATGCAACCCACAGAAACACCTCCTCAGAAACAGGTGAATAATCAAGCACAGGTTCACAAATGCTTGTTTCTTAAAGAAAACAAAGGTAAGTTTTCAACTCTAAAAACTCCAATAAGAAGTTCAGAGCTCAGAAAAACCCAAAATCAAGGACAAGGAACGCAAGATGTTTTCTTCAGACCTGTGGGGACCTGTCAGCCTGTTGCTCTCAGGAGGGTGCAGCCATCAGCCAGATTTACCAAGAAATCATGAGGTCAGAGGGAATTTTCTTCTCTTTCCATGCACTCCATCATGAGCAGTGAAAGATCTCTGGGCCTATGGAGGCTGTTACAACAGCGCTGGCTCTAAGGAGGAGCATAAATAGAACCAATAACTCACTAATTTCTATCTAGTGGGATGCAGGCGAGCAGCAGCAGCTGCAGGGTCACACTGCAGACACATTCCCCAGTTGCTGTGTGCTCGCAAGTCATGCCCAAACATAGAGCATCACTGAACTGCTTTGTTTGCATGAAAATCTGGAGTTAAAACCACTATGTGACCTCAAGGATCACACACAGCCTAAATCAGACCCACAGCAAATCAGGATTACAAACAAGGAATGCAGACTACCCTTCGGCCCCTTCTTTGATTTGCAAAGTGCAAATGAAGCAGAAGTTATTGGGTTTTTCCTACAAATCTTGCCTCTGGAACATTTTTTAAATTTGGGGAATTTCCTGTATTGCATTTTAAGAGCCATACTCTGGAGACCCTGGCAGTCAGCTGGCTGGCAATCTTGCCTCTCTCTGATTGAAGGGGCGATTTCAAGAGAAGGAAAGAGGTTATGAAACCTATTTTGATGTGCAACGGGTTCTTTTCTGAGTAAGGCAATGATGGCTCTGTGGATCACTGTCTCTAACCTTCAAAAAGATTCAGTGTTGAAGAAAACTGACTCACTTTTAACACAAAGAAACTTAAAATCTAAAGCAACTTGCTGAGTGGTTGCACCCAGCTTCTCCCAGCTGTTTTTCCTTGTGGCAGACCCAGTGTTAAAATTCCCAAGGGCAACAGAATCAACCTGATTCCTGCAACTCTGGTGTTGCTCTTGTTCTTCCTGTGGTGTTGTTTTTGATGCTGGGAATCAGAGACCAGCCTCAGGGAGGTATTTAGCAGAGATGGAGCATTGCTGATCCGTATTTAGCAGAGATGGAGCATTGCTGATCCATACTCAGACTTGAATCTGGGCTGGCATCAGCACTGGTCTTGTTTGGGTGGGGCAGGAAAGCTGGCACTGGCATGTGGAGAGAAGGGGATTCCTCTGTCAGCTTGGGCAGATGCAGCATCAAAACCCACCTCAGGAGCTTCAGTTCTGTAATACTGGGGCTTGGCTCAGCTCTTTCAAAACAAAAAAGTGCCTCCTCAGCAGGCTGGAAGTGGTGCTTGGAAAGGGAGTTTGGACAAACCCTGTGTTCACATCTGCTTTTCTTTGTGGACTGTGAGAGATAGAAAAACAGAGCTGTGAAAGACACATTATAGGAGGACCCACGAGGGGTAATTTTAGATTATTAGCTTTAAAGCATTTATAACATAGTGTAGCTAAAGCTGATAGATTAAGAAACACTTATAGCATATTGTAATTAAGAAATAATCAACTTCTGATTGTGACAGCGTGACTTATAACATCTGTATTGTCTCACCCTTCTCATAAGACTAAAAATAGAATAAATTTTTTTAAACGCCTCTCAATTAACCAT